CTCTTCCTAGCAACTCTAAGATTAACCCCAAGGAGAAGAATAGTGAGAATGTAAAAGTTGTCAAATTAAGGAGTAGAAGAGAGTTGGAGGTTGTAGTTTGGAAAGGTTTGGAAGTTGAAAAAGAGAATGTATAACCTAAAAAGCCTTTGGAAAATATTTTCAAGGACTTAGAGAAACCAGTCTCTCCAACTAAGTATAACTTAGAAAAACCACCACCTTCATTTCCTCAACAGTTCCAATAACAAAAGCCGGACCAACAATTTTTGAAATTTTTGAAGGTATTAAAGAAGCTAAGTCTTAATATTTCTTTTGCAGAGGCTCTAGAGCAGATGCTCAGCTATGTAAAGTTCATGAATGACATTTTTAATAAGAAGAGAAAATTTGGAGATTAAGAGATAGTAGCACTTAGTGAAAAGTGCAATGTAATCATTCAAAATAATCTTCCTCAGAAACTTAATGATCTTGGGAGCTTTACTATCCCTTGTACAATAGGAGAATATTTTTTGGAAAAGCTTTATGTGATATCGGAGTAAGTATAAACTTTATTCCATTATTTATCTTCATATGGTTAGGATTAGGAGAAGTGTCTTCTATTACTGTAACCCTTTAGCTAGCTGATCGTTCACTTATCCAAATGGGTAATATAAGATGTCTTAGTAAAGGTGGATAAGTTTATCTTCCCTATTGATTTCATTATGTTGGATATGAAGAAATATAAGGAAAGTTTAATCATTTTAAGTAGACATTTCCTAGTCACTGAAAGCTATAATAGATGTCAAAAAGGTGAATTAAATATGAGAGTAAATGATCAGGATATTACACTTAATGTCTTGAAATACATGAAGTATCTTTCTAAATGAATGAAGATATGTGTTTTCAGATGGACTTAATTGATTATTTATGTAGTAGCCATTTCTGAAAAAGTTATTAAGATAAATCAATAGAGTGGGTTTGGATGAAAAGAAAGTTATAGACTTTCAGGATGAACTAGCCCAATTGATTTTTTATAATTCAAAATTTGTTCAAGAGAGATTTGAGATTCTAGATACAATAAAAATTAGTAAAACTCTTATTCCTTCTGTTGAGGAACCACCAGAATTTGTGATGAAGGTGCTTCCCACATACTTAAAGTATGCTTATTTGGGGAAGTCATCTACATTACGAGTTATCATATACTTAGATTTGAATCTTTTGCAAGAGGAGAAATTAATGGATATTCTGAGGAATTATTAGAAAGTTTTCGAATGAAACTTAGTAGATATTAAGGGGATTAGTCATTCTATTTGTATGTATAGGATCCTGATGGAAGATAACCATAAAATCCAAGCTGATCCTCAATGGAGATTAAACCTAATTATAAAAGAAGTAGTTAAAAGGAACTATTGAGTTAGATGCATGTATTATAGATCTTATATTAGATAGTGCTTGAAGTCCTATTCATTGTGTTCCTAAGAAAGGGGGAGTTACGATGACTGTTAATAAGCAAAATGAATTAATTGCAACTAGACATGTCACTAGGTGACGTATATGTATAGATTATAGAAAATTAAATTCTGTCATGAGGAAAGACTACTTTTCTTTTTCATTTCTAGATCATATTTTAGATAGGCTAACTGGTCATCCATATTTTTGCTTATGAGATGGATATTCAGGGTACAATCAGATATCTATAACTCCTAAGGATCAAGATAGAACAACATTCATAAGTCCTTATGAAACTTTTTCATTTCATATAATCCCTTTTAGGTTATGTAATGCATCTTCTACATTTCAGTGGTGTATGAGGTATATTTTCTGTAACCTGATCGAGAAAAGAATTGAAGTGTTTATAGATGACTTTTCAATGTTTGGCCCTTCTTTTGATTCCTATTTAGTTCATTTGGCAAAGGTATTGAAACACTATGAAGAAACCAATCTGGTTCTTAATTGGGAGAAGTATCAATTTATCGTTTTGAGAGATGTTGTGTTAGGACATAAAATATCTAACTACAAAGCTTCCCCTCCGATTTCTCGTAGGGGAAACTCTCCACTATTCATAGGGCAGACTAACTACAAAGCTTTTGTTGCTTTATGAACGCCCACGATCTTATAGGATGGACTAGCTACAAAGTTTTTTTCATTCTCTAAGATCGAACTCAACCATCTTCTCCAAGGAAAGTTGGGAGCGTCAAAGCCACGAGAGATTATGATTCCGACCCGACAAGATTTAGACTTAAGGCTCACAACAGGGAATCACTCAACTCCGTACAGGACTTGACTAACGTACAATGATCCTAACTTAGGGCTTTCTCTAGAGAAATCAATAGCCCATCACATAGGCGTCGTGGTTGCACTGATTAATGATGACTGACACAGACACCTCTTGTGGGCAACCAAACCCATGTTCCTAGACTCAACTAACCCTAAGGCCAACTAAGAGTTGGATAAATCTCACTGTCGTGATGGTTGTGGATGTATGTTCACGTAGGAAGAAGCTCTCCTATGAGTAAGAGAAAAGTTCATGTTCTGGCGAACTCCGGCGGTTCTCCGATGATGCTCCGACGATCTTCCGGTGACCAAAATTGGCCCAATCCGAGTCAAATCAAGCCCATATCAAATCGTTAAGCTACTTTTGGAAGCTTTTGGCGTCTAATTGGGATGTCAAAGGGATTCACTATATGACAAGCTTACAATCAAATAGAGATTCCTAACGAGATGAATCTAACAAGCCTAAGAACACTCAATTACAACATCATTAAGAGACTCAAATGTCCAAAAAATGATGTCTGATCAAAGGAATCTCTTGGGGTCGTCTGTTGGTGTGGTTTAGATTCCTTCCTTATTTGTAGGGAGGCATCACTCAGACTCTATAAATATAGATCTACCCAATTAATGTAAGAAAATCTAGACCTTGAATAGGAAGAAGAGCTAGATCTGAAGCTAATTCACGAAGAAGTTGAATTCCAGTGCAGTTTCAAACTGAAGTCTTGGCAGACGCCTTCACTCTATCAAAATCACCAACCATCATTGGCCAACGTTCATTGTCTACAATCGATCACTATCGGCCGCCCCTTGCTCGTTACAATGAAGCCCCTCGCAGAGTCGCGATGTACATTACAGAGTAACGAAACACCGTGCAAAGTAAAGTCCAACATCGCAGAGTCACGAGAAACCCCGCAGAGCAATACATCATCCTAAAAAACCACGCAACAGTGAACCCCAAAAACGGTGCACAGAAGTCCTGACAATTGCAACCGCTCTCAGCCGTTGTACAACAAATTATTCTGCATACAATCATTGCACTTTGAGGAACTGTGTAACCCTTTCTTGCTTGTGGGATAAGGGCATGCACGTGTACTCACCAACTCATAGTTGTTTGTTCTGACTGGGCCAAATTCCGTGGTTTTTTTTTTCTTTTCGAATTTTCCACATATGAACTTCTAGTGTTTCGACCAATCATCTCAATTATCGTTTGTGTTGGATTACTGTACTAATTTAAAACATTAAATTATCACTCTACTACCGCAAATCATTTGACACAAATTAAGCATAAAATATAAAAAATTAACGTAATAGACATATAAATATTCGCTAAAATATTAACACACAACAAGATAAATACTTTAATAAAATCTCAACAATAAGATGAATATCTTAATAAAATCTCAATGAATCATTTTATTAAACACAAAATGATAATATTCTTTATATTTCTAAATTTTAAAATTTATATTCAATAAAATAATATAAATCCAGTCGTATATGAACAATCATAGACAATAGTCGTCGGGTCCAATTTCCAACTCCGTTAAAACGAACACGGACGAGTCTTCACTTTAGCCGTTGACCGCACCCTCCCTAGCACCAACCTCACCCAAAAATTTCTCCACCAAACCGCATTTCATCTATAAATCATGACCGCTGAAATCCTCCCATTCTGCACACTCAACGGTCTGATATGAATGCTTCATGGTCCACCTGGAGAACCATCGTCATTCTGTTATTTCCTCTCAAGCCCATTTGGCCCATGGCCCACCAGCACACGGACGCGTTTCAAACATGGCGAGCTCATCGCTTACGGCATCATATTATTCATATCGTGCTTTTGAGTGGGCCCCACCATAAAAAGCCTAGAAGCTTACGGTCAATAGAATCCCAGATTTATACTGTTAACCCTCCATGTTGCTGAAAATTACAACAATAACATAGAAATGAACACCTTATATAAAAGAAGTAAGCAAAGGTTAAATTTGTAATAGTAGAATACTCTAAGATATTCAGGAAGATTAACATACACATCCCTCAATTCCTATTTATTTACATATCAAACATTTAAATTTTAATTTTTACATGCTTACTCTTTTTTTGATACATAAGAAATGTACCTCATCTTTTAAAAGTTAAAATTGTGATAATTTTGATGTGATATCTAAATTTTAGATGACATAAATATAAAAAAGTAAAACAAATATTACGTCTAAACTCCCCGAAAGTACAAATACGTCTGGAGTTCAATAAACTCACGCCACATGGAGGTGACAGAAAAATAAAAAAAAAAGTTTTAACATAAGGGAATATTCCCCCATGTTATTCTGCGTTATTCAGGTGTTATTGTGGTGATATTCATGTATTATTGTTTTATTAAAATATTCCTGGTGTTATAATAACACAATAACACATCAATAACATCAGAATAACAATACTAACACAGAATAATACATGAGGAATATTTCCCTTTGTTACCGGGCCGAATCACAAGAAAACAAATTTTTTTTCCTATCAACTCCACATGAAGGTGAATCGTTGGACTCCGAATGTATCTCTCCGTCCGGACTCCGGACGTATTAATTTTTTATTCATAAGAAAACTAGAAAATTATCTCTTATCTTTTAAAAGTTAAAATTGTGATAATTTTCTTGTGATATGTAAAATTTAGATGACAACATAAATATAAAAAAAGCAAGACTTATATAATGAATTCATAAATACAAAGAAATTAGTGGTAGAAATGTAAATGCTCCTACAATAAATATGTGCCTAAAGCCTACTGTCCAAACAAGAAGGCTTTCAGAAAGCAGAAACGAGACGAAACCGAGTGGAAGAACAAGAGAAGAAATTGGAAGGATGGATTTATCCCGCCAACAAATCTCAGCCGATCCTCCCCAATTTCTCCCACTAAACGAAGACGATTCTCAGGACATGATTCTATTGCAGGTACTCACGGAGGCCTCCAGTATGTCTGCTTCTTCTCCAATGTCTCCACCGACATCCAAAAAGAGGGCAGAGGTGATTGGAGAATTGACTAAAAGGCATTATCGAGGCGTGCGGCGGCGGCCATGGGGCAAATTTGCAGCGGAGATTCGGGATTCGTCGCGCCATGGTGCGCGGGTGTGGCTCGGCACTTTCAATACGGCGGAGGAGGCCGCGGTGGCTTACGATCGTGCGGCTTTTCAAATGCGCGGAGCGAAAGCGTTGCTTAATTTTCCTCCCGAGTTCGTGATTGGTGGCGGAGAGTTGGAGAAGGAGGGGGCAGGGTTTGTGGAGAGAGTAGGGAAGAGGAAAGAGGCGGAGTTTCGGGATTTGGGGGCCGATTACTTTGGGAAGTTGATGAGGGTTTATGAGGGTTGAGGATGAAGAATTAGGGTTTTAGAGCTATCTTCGAGTCCACTGATATGCGGGTACGTGGTTTTAAGGAAACGCGCTTGCTTTCTCAGGTAATACATGAGAATATTCTTCTTATGTTATTTCGTGCTATTCGGGTGTTATTATAATAGTATTGATGTGTTATTGTGTTATTGTAATACCAGAAATATTTCCAGAACAAAAGAACACATAAATAATCACCACATTAACACCTAATAATACTGATAACACGGAAGGAATATTTCCCTGCGCTAAAATAATTTTCTTTTAATTTTTATGTTTCCTCCTCGTGTCCGCATATCAGTGAGCTCCAGACGTAACTCTATATTAGGAGTGTTAATGTAATATTTTTCCTAATTAAAGAAAGGATATGGTATGTACTTAAATTTATTGATCATATTTTTAGCTGAATGACTTAAATTTATTAATTTATATGTGCACACAATTTATTATAAAAAAATAATTTTAATTTATTAGAACTAAATGAAAATATGACACTAAATAGGACGCAATGGAGAAAAAGGATTCATGCAGCTAACGCCTCGTAGTGGGATTAAGGTTTTGTTGTTGTTGTACTGATGCACCCAATTCATATGTATCGACATATCTAATATCAAAATTTTATTTTTTATATCTATAGTAATCAAAATTTTCATAGCACATAAAAATATTGTCATATGAATTTTTTATTATCATTTAAATTTTTTAAAAAGTGAATTACATCTTTAGTTATGGTATATACATATAAATTAAAATTTAAGTATTTGATATGTAAATACATGAGAACTGGGTGGTATGCTTCTAAATATTCCTCCTGAGTTTCACGCTATTCATAAATTTTCAGAAAAAAAGTAATTTCTATTGAACAGTAAAAACGAGATAAAATGGTTAGCCTTTGCTTTGACCTTGGATAGTTAGGGTTCATCAATGATTCATTTGTAAGGATGGAAAACGAATGCTTCTAGAAAGAAAGCTAAAGTTTTTGTTCTGGAAAAAATTTTTTTGGTGATATGCCTCTCCCTCTCCCTCTCAAGATATATATATATATATCGTGCCGCAAGCCTTAGTCTGTTGGTGGCAGGGTCACTGTAAGTCCCCTCAGGTCAAGGGTTCGATCCCACTGTGGCGCGGCTCTGAAATTTTAGGTATATGACGCGGGCTCTTATCATGAGGCCAAAAAGCTCATGAGAAATCATATACATAAAAAAAAATTATTATATTCATCAGCCGACAAGATGATCAGTGATGAATCATTTTTAACACATTGGGTTTTATAGTATTTCTGAGTAGATGCAACTCGAAAAAAGATCATGTACCACTAGAATAGTACCCAAAAGAGAGAGTAAGAGAGAGAAGAGAACGATCCTCAAAGTGAAAATCTGGAGGGAATCTAAGATGAGGAAGGAGATCCAAATTCTAGTGTAGAAAAAAAAAAGATAAAAAATAGAATACTTTCACTCCTGTCTTCTCCTTTTATACATACTGGATGGGAAAACTATAAACTAATCTTAATACTACATCTCACGCCTTTTCATTGAATTTTTCCCAACATCTCGATAGGAAATTGATATCGATGCCATGACATATTGTCCTTAATGCTAAGAAATGTCGGTTGATGGCGCCCAGAGCTCCGCCGCGGCCATCACTGCCAATTCCCGTAGTCATGTCGTTGATTTGACATTGTTATTTGAAATGAGTCGTCACTTTGTTTATCTATTTTATTGCCCTAATCTCCAAGTAACTTATTTTTTTGAATCATGTGAAAGATTCCCACATGTTAAATAACTAAGAGAAAAAAGGAAAGGGCTAAAATAGAAAACATGAGAAAAAGAAGTGTCGTGACGATAGTCATTATAGAGAAAATGATTTCTCGTATAAAGAAAACCACATGAAGAATTAGGGAACCAGAGATTTAGGTATATCACCTATTCCGAGTTTTTCTTTCTTCTATAGAAGCAAACTCCTATAGTTAATTACATCCCAGACAGTCAAGACTATCTGAGAAAGCTTTTGATTAATGTTAACACTCGTTCTTCTAAGAAATGTCAAGATCAAGGGAAGAAACATCAAATGTTTATTTCTAGGGTAATAGATTTCTAAGAATCTGATTCTACCCTAAATGTTTTATTTTGTTTTGTTTGTTCATGTCATGTCATGTTGTTTTATTTTTGTTTTGTCATTTTTTTGTTGTTTTGTTGTTGTCATTTGGTTGTTTAGGTTTTTGTTTTATTTGTCATGTCATGTCATTTTATTTTATTTTGTTATATTTGTCATGTCATGTCGTTTTATTTTATTTTATTTTGTTTGTCATGTTTCTGTTATCTTATTACTACACACAAAACATGGATTAAACACAACATAAAACTTCATTAAATTAAAACAAATATACTAGAAAGTGTTTATAACAATTACAAGATAATAAAGACATAATACTTAACTTTTTTCCTTTAAAGGAAAAATAAAAATCCCTCCAACAAAATATTTCGCTGATCTATGCAATGCTTATACAATTTCTTTACACATATCTCTCAAAATCCCTCACCAATCTCTCAAGCCATGGTGAAAATCTATATCTTCATCTCCTCTCTAAACTTACACTGAAATTCTCTCCAAGATCCCCCTCTTAACTCCTTATGAGAGGCGTCAAGCCCCTCTTTTTAAAAAGACACTAAATACCTCCTTTTTTCTAGAGACACACCTCTTCACTAGAAGAGACACGCTTTCAGTTCAAGATACACAACTTTGGCCTTTCCAAGTGTCTAGATTTATTGAACCACTCCATGGGGCTTGCAAGTTTCTTGGAATCTTCCAGAACATCCCAACATAGCCAAAAATCGCCCAAAAACAGCTCCTTAATCGTTTCTGGCATCTAGGTGCCAGTTTCGGGAGCATAGGCGCTGTCTTCTCTATCATCTAGTGCCTAGGCACCAGCTTCAGGCGCCTAGGTGCCACCTTGTAGGCAGCTCCACCGTTTTGCCTCGTTTTGCTCCGTTTTGCCCCATTTCAGTTCTGTTTCGCTCCAAATTATTATATCTACAAACTAAACATGAAAATAATCTTTCTTTAAAGTATAATTTCATTCAAAAACATATGATAAATATAAAGAATATTAAGCAAAGAAAGACACATCGAAATGTGTCGAGTAAGAATTTTCTTCCTTGCTTGTTTTGACTCCAAATTGCTCCATTTTTGCTTCATTTTCTCCATAAGTCCATTTCTTGTACCTTTAACCAAAGACATGCAAATACCTTTCTTTAAATGTAATATCATTAAAAATAAGTATAAAATATATATGAAAAAGTAGTTATTTTTTAGGCGTGTCAAATACTCTATGTCTTTTCTCTAGCCTCTTTAAGACAAGCGTTCATTCAGATTGCTATGATTGTTGTTGTTGTTAAAGATGTTTTTCTAGGGTGCTTTTATTGTCTCTTCATACAAATTGATGTTGGCCTCCTTGGTGTTCAAAAATATCTCTTTTTTTTTTAATCTATCAACTAGTTCTCCAATGCTAGAGAGATTTGATAAAGGGTTGTATTCCTTAACCAAAATATGATCATGGGCTAGCTTTAAGATTTCAACCATGGTTTTTGGCTTTTGCAAGCCAAACATGTATTGGAATGGGCCTTCTCATAGACCCCATGCAATTGCTGCATGGGCGATGGAAGACTCAATATGTCTAACATCGAGCATTTCCCATTAGAATCTAGTGATGAGGCTCCTCAAACTTTTAGATGGAGCTAATTGGATCTTTAGTAAATCTTGAGAGCTTTTTTGTGTTTTTTGAGTGCTAGTGAATTAAGCATCTAACATTTGCTTGATTTTACTGAAATAGGAGATGACTCTTATTAGAATGTTGTGAACCAACATAAGGACGATTCCTTGAGCATTATAAAATGACACTTAAGGGCTTCGTTTATTCATGTTAGGAAGACTGTCGATACAAAAGATATGATCAGCGGGATTAGTCCTCCCTTTGTAAGAATCCAGGGAAGGGAATTTGAATTTTCTAGGGGGTTCCACTTCAACAATTTCTCTATAGTGCATTCTACTGCAATCCTCTCCTTCTTTTTTTGCTTGTCCTCTCCTCATTATGTAAGGATTTTGTCGTCTCTTCTCTAAGGACATATGATACATCATCATCATCATCATCTTCTTCTTCTAGTGATAAAGCCAGACTCTCCTTGCTCCAGTTCACGATAGTTCTTCTCTTGGTAATCGATGCCTTTATGGTCCTCGTCTCCATTCCACAAAATCTTGATCATCCTGTATGGTTTCTCAAACTCTTCCTAGAACAAGTTCTTGACACTTCTATTATTTTGTGCATTTTTTCTCTAAATTCAGGGCCCATTTGGGGCAGCTTAAAACTGCGGCGGCGTTTTTGAAAACACCGCCTTTATGTTTGATTCACACGTTTTGGTTGCGTTTGTCAAAACACGATTTACAACGTTTGATTTTTTTCTATTAGACGCGGATCGCGGGTATAACCCCGCGATCCAGCGTTCGACCGAAGTATTTCCGCGCTGCCCTCAAACCCGATCTGCCGAAGGAAGCCGCTGCTCTCTGACGAAGGAAGCCGGAGGCGGCGCTGCGTCCGTTCTCGGTATGGAATACTCTTGTCAGCCCCCAATTTTATTTTTTTCTTGGTTCCTTCTTTCCCTCGATCCCGATCCATTCAATTCGTGAAGCCCTTCCCTTCATTGATCGTCTGAACCGCGTGCTCTTCAGCCCCGATCCTTCTATCCGTGAGGATCTCTCTCCAATTGTGAGCAAGGTTCTTTTCCTTCCTCCAGCCATTCAAGCTACAGAGATTTCTTTCTTTTCCCCAATCAAACCGTAAGAAACACGAATTGGTAAATCCAAATCCCTATTTCCTTATTTGATTGCATATAATTGTTTGTGATTTTTTTTATGCATCACTTATGTGTAAATCATATGTGATAGGGTTGAGATTCATTTTTTTTCTTTTACTTTTTTTTTTGTGATTCACAAAGAAAAGAAATTAAGTTTGTCTTGCTTTCTTTATTGTTGCATGTATGCGAGATTTTATTCCGCTTTCTAAATTTACCATTAAATTTTCATTCTTATAAATGTCATTAATCCATCCTTGTGCTTCCTTTGTGATTGTATCATCAACTAAGCGAATAGAATGTTG